TTTATTACTAATCTCATTTGTTCAAGCTACAGGGCCATTTTTTTGACAGTCTGTGTAGTGATGTAATATGTCTCTCTCAACAGAAACGTCATCAGCATGTTTGCAACAGCGGAGGGTCTTTTAACACAGCAGGATCACCTCAACTCTGACGGTCTGCAGGAAGTTTTTGCCACAAACCTGTTTGGTCATTTTCTCCTGGTACACACTCAACCGAACAAATCAGATAATACACTTTATTAGGCACGCCAAGACCTTCAAAGGAAATTCTGCTTTTACAAACATAATAAATGCAGTTTAACAATTAATTTAATATTTTTTTATTTATAGTGTCCCGCTTCATATTGAGGGGACGTGTCTGATAGTTCTGTAACCTTTATAACTTTCTTGCAAAGTGCATGAATCTCATTAGATTGTGCAGGTGTCACACATATTGTAACCATTTTGAACCTAGTCACTGTATTTGGGTAGTGTAAGATGGAAAAACACATATTATTGTTCAGTATGAAAGCACATCTCCACCATGTGAGAGGGACAACAGCAAACCCAAACCGGTTGAAGTCGGATCTTGCAGGTTTGACACTCTGATTTCCTTCAAGGTCAGGGAACTGGAGCCTCTGTTGTGTGAGGCGGGTCACACATCACGTGTCGTGTGGACCTCTTCAAGTAACGCCCGCCGCACTGCCTTCAGCATTGAGGATATCCAGCACAAAAATGGGACTGAGCCCTACAGCTCCTCCAAGTATGCCTCGGACATGCTCAGTGTGGCCCTCAATAGACACAAGAACAGTCAGGTTTGTTTTTGCACACGCGGCACTTGAACATCACTGCAAACGCATTAAAGCGCTTTGAAATAGCGTAATTTCACGAGAATAAGACGCCCTCTGATATAATAATGAAACAGCATACTAACTTCTGGGAGGGCTTTCTGTGTCTCAACATTTTGTTCTTTTCCACCAGGGGCTTTTCTCCTCTGTGATATGTCCAGGACTGGTGATGACCAATCTCACTTATGGCATCCTGCCCTCCTGTTTCTGGACTTTTATTATGCCAATCATGTGGTTGGTGAGTGCCATTGTTTGTTTTGTTTTGTTTTTTGGTTTTCCTGAAGCGTCACATGGTGTTTTCTATATTGAGCAGATCAGGATCTTCACGAATACGTTTACTCTTACACCACATAATGGAGCGGAGTCACTGGTATGTCACAAAGTCAAGTCACCCATCAAACGGAATGCTAAAATGGAAGATATTTTTAAACGGAAAATAATATGGACTTCCACAGCATTGGCTGTTCCTTCAAACACCAGAGTCTCTGGACCCGAGGGCAAAATATCACAGCTTGACATCAGGACTTGGAGCAAACTACACAGAACCACGGCCAGTAAGATTTCAATTATACTGATCGAGCACTTTATTTGGAAGAATAAATTTGACAACTGTGCCACCCAATGTTTCTTTTACAAATGTATTCATGCTCAATTTTGGATGGCACTGCCAGATTGAATCGAAAAGCGTGTTGAGCATTGTGGCGGTTTGTAGCACATTGTCAATCAAACCTGAAATTAGATTTGGATTTGTTCAGTAGGGCACACTCTACATTCATGAACTTTTGAATCGTAACAAAAAGATTTTTTAACTCAGTGCATTACAGTCACGAGGCTGAAAACTGAGCATTGTCTTTGGAAAAGCAGAATTTGTTCTCTGCTACTGTTGTACTGAATCTAATTAGAGGTGGCAAGTAATTCATGCTCAATTTTGGATGGCACTGCCAGATTGAATCGAAAAGCGTGTTGAGCATTGTGGCGGGTTGTAGCACATTGTCAATCAAACCTGAAATTAGATTTGGATTTGTTCAGTAGGGCACACTCTACATTCATGAACTTTTGAATCGTAACAAAAAGATTTTTTAACTCAGTGCATTACAGTCACGAGGCTGAAAACTGAGCATTGTCTTTGGAAAAGCAGAATTTGTTCTATGCTACTGTTGTACTGAATCTAAATAGAGGTGGCAAGTATCCCTCACGGAATTTGAAAATACAGCATTAACTTCCTCGAGGAATGTTTTACGTACAGTCTGTGTAACGATCCCCGGCCTGTGTTTGTATTCTGTCAGATGGACATTGACGACAGTATGTGCGAGGTGCTCTACGAGAAACTACTTGAATTGGAGAAAGACATCAGGAGACGACTCACTGACCAAAATCAACATCATTGTAATGACATAAACGTGTGTTCTAATTAATGGTAAAGTTCAGCAAAAATACCAACCATGCTCTCTTGGGTCATCCTTGCCCTGTTTTAAGCCTTTCAGGGACAGCGGTCACTACAGTGGACAGCGTATCAGGTTACAGGTTGTCATTAGTGGTGCATGAAAGAGTTAAACGAGAGGTCTGCCTGCAATAATTGCACGATGATAGTTTTTCCTCAATCGTTGGCCTGTTTTATTCACAGAAACAGCATTCAACCGAAACCAGTAAAAACCCACTCAAATTTTGAATTTTGAATCTTGTCCCAGTCCAAAACAGAAAACAAAAGCATCATTAACGCACCAGCAACCGGCTCAGTGCAGGGTCATATTATCCTTGATCTAAAACATCTTCACAACCTTGGTCAACACTACATACTGAGGTGTGTATTCTGCCCATATTTAGTCATGCTGTATAACTTTCCCATGCCTGCAGTGTAACTTTGCGTCCTTGAAGCAATCATCACTTAATATTGGTATACTCCTTACTGGAGACCTTGTAGAGACGCACAGACCATTGGAATGCGCTAGTCGATACAAGCTATGAATCGGTTGAAGAGAAAGAAAGTCTTGATACCACACCATAAATTTCGGTACCGCACTTCTGATAATATAAATAGTTGTGAATCCCTTGCTTCTTTGCACCCGTGATCCGCAGCCATTGTCTGTAAACCGCGGGTGCCCGGAATATTCTGCTAATAAACTCTTCGAAGGTTACTGTTCAGCGACTCCAGCCTGTATTTGGATAGCCAACATCCTCACCATCCGAAATTGACAAACATGCAGAGGAAGAGAAAGGCCATCTCTCCCTCAACAAAACCTGTAATGGAAATCTGTACAATTTGCTGTTTGGACGTGTTCAATAAAGTGAATAATGTATGAACTGCATTTATGATAATGGAGCTTGGGATTTATTCAACCGGGATATACATTCTTTTTGCTTAAGTTCATTTTCAGTGACATCATGCATCATACTTAATACTAATGACTCAGTCACACAACTAAAGCCAAATGGGGTTGGCTGCAGCCCACCCATGATCCAAATGAGGAGAAGTGCTATTGAAAATGGATGGGTGGATATTCGGCCAGTGGAAACCTTAGAACAAAAAAATATCTGGGTATGCCCAAAAGCTTTTTTTTAATGCCAGTCTCCCGTTGCTACTTAAGTGATCTAGTCTAAAAGCGACAAACCACCCACAAAGAGCTTGTGGATTTAAATATGAGCGAGAGCCTCATTGAAATCAGCTACACTTTTTTTTTTTTTTAACCAGAGTGACTGAGATAAGGAGCAGATTCCACAGAGGCAGACAGATGTGTTTCCGGCTGTTAGGCACCATGTCCCTGCAGACCACATCGTTGCTGCTTTTTATAAATTCCACAATCCCACCAAATCTCGGGAACAGCTGCTATGAAGTTTTCAAAGTGGAGTACTTTATTTTAAGCGATAGTTCTCAAGCTGGGGTCATGAAGAGGACACCAAAGGGGTCTGCAAAATAATTATCAAAAATTATGTCGTATTATTTGCATAGAGTACTCCCACACATATGACAATAAAACAAGTGTCATTCGGAATAAAATGTGTAATTTTACAAGAATAACGTTGTATTTTGTAAATTCTCTGGTGAAAATATGACTTTTTCCCTCAATGAACTTTGACTTTATTCTCATCAGGGTACTATACGAGTTTTTATCCAGGCAAAATAAGTTTTTGTTCTTGTCAAGATTATTACTACTATTATTGTATTACCTAGGGATGGGCGAGTACAGAATTTCGCGCCTGGGAAATTAAAAACTAAACGACTCTCCGAGAACATGAGATTGCGTCATTCCATCATGTCAATAAAAACAATGCAGGCGGGCGCGCTCGCGCTCACTCTAGCGTGCACCTCCCCGTATCCCGGATGTTGTCTGGCACCGGAAGAGAAGGGGCCGATCTCCCAGCCATCTTGTGGCAGCATCCAGCGACCAGCTCGCATCAAACCTCGTCGAATCGGCGGTGAATCCAGCTGAAGGGGCGCCATCATGCCCGGCCACCTACAAGAAGGCTTCGGCTGTGTCGTAACCAACCGCTTCGACCAGTTACCGGACGACGAGTCGGACCCCTCGGAGATCCTGAAAGCTGCCGAGAACAAGAAGAAGGAGGGGGCCGCTGCTGGCTCCGCCAAGAGCGCCGCGCAAGCCGCTAAGCAGCCCAAGAAGGAGTCGCAGAAGGACAGGAAGAACCCGCTCGTGGAGAAGAAGGATGAGTCCCAGCCTCCGGTGGCGCTGAAAAAAGATGGTAAACATCCGCCCATGTTGGTGTTTGTGTTTTTGTGATGCTCGGCTGTCCTGCTAACATGCTAGCCGCTGCTGGACAGCGTCACTCGGCGGGAGGTCAACACTGAGCCTGCCTGCCTGGTCGCTTGTTGTTAGAGGACACACGGAGGTGGAATCCTTCTGTCGTGGTTGGCGCTCTCGGGTCACTGGCAGCGACTCCGTGCAAGCCGCTATGACGGACGCATCCTTTTGGAATGTGTCCGCTAGTCGGATGCTGCTCGCTGCGCGTCTCGGCGTAAACACTGATGAGAATTCACCTTCATTGCGTGATTGGTGAATTGAAGAATCGTCTGAATCAGTGTTTGAATTTATGTTTGATTAACACCGTGCGCTACGCACAAAAGGTGAAATGCCATCCCCATCGCCCATTACAGTACAGTGAGACCTTGGCTCGGTACAGGACAATAAAATTCAAAGCTATTTTTATTTTCCGAAAGACCTATTTTACTGAATAGATAAGGAACAAAACTGTGTTTCCGTTTAGTCCAAGAATTAAGGAAGACATTTTTAAGACTTCAAAAGTGGGCAAAAATGACCTCTTGTTTCCAATTCAAAACAATGAAATGGCCGGTGATTGAGGATCTGTGAAGCGGTGTGCGGCTGTGTAGGGGCAAGTAAGATCAAATCAACACATTTCCTCTTGTGCTGCCACTTGCTGTCGACTGAAAATAAACATCACAGTGCCCAAGGGCTCAGCATGCGAAAATCCAGAAAACGGGTGAGCTCTGACTGGCGTTACCCTTTGGCACAGCGGTGTCTTTTTTAGTCAACAGCAAGTTGAAGTACAAACACAAAATGTCCGTCCCCAGAGATGGATAAAAACTGGTGAATTTTTCTGCATAATTCACATTCGATTACCAGATTTGGACACCCCGCAATAAAACTTCAAGATTTGCCAATCCTTGAGCTATTTCAACAAAAGCATGTCACGGACAGACCTATTATCAAGGCATCTGAGAACTGTTTGAAAAGTGAAACACATAGGAAGGAACACATAGGACTCCTTTAGACCCGCATCACAGAATGGACGATGTCGACCAAAGCGTTGACAAACTGTACTCCTGCTTGTGTGCGCTTGTCAGGCGTGAGGCGAGTGGGTCGACGGCCAGAACAGCAGCCGGGTCACCAGGGCTCCCAGCATCACGGCGGCCAAGTTGAGGGGCGACTCGGCGACAAGAGGCCAGACCGCAGACCCCCTCGTGAGCGGCGCTTTGAGAAACCCGCCGAGGGAGACGGCCCTGACTTCTCCGCAGACAAGTGAGAATCGCCGCGTGAACGATTATATCCGGAAACAAGCCATCACCGAAATGTATGGTTATAAAAGCATGGCTGAGCTTCTCTCACTGTTCCTTTTTCTTCAGGCCCTCCGGAGACCGGCCTCCAAGGGGACGCGGTGGCGGACGAGGTGGGCGCGGTGGACGAGGGCGGGGCATGGGCCGAGGAGAAGGCTTCGACTCGCGTGGCAAACGAGACTTTGACAGACACAGCGGCACTGACAAATCGTGAGTCTCAGTCCTGATAGATGAAGTAGATTAATTTCAGGGGCTTCCTCAGTTTACGGCGGTCCTCATAAGACATTTTGGGGGTATAAATGGGGGTAAGAAAATGTGGTCATGTGACACAAGAATATAATGCTCAGTTTTGGTGACATTAACTTTAATTTTTAATTTGATTTTGTAATATTTACGCCCTTGAAGTGAAAGTAAATGGGGGTGTCTTTGCTGAAATTAAGGCAAAGTTGGTACCATTCTGACTATTCATATGTGGTGCATAGGCCACGCCCTCCACTATTTCACTTTTACGTGAAGTATTTGTACGTATTTCAATTTTCTTCAGAATGACCTTTTTCTTTTAAAAAATGCCACCTGCCATGGAAAAAAAATAACGAGATGTCTGAAAAGCCAACATGCATAAGATGTAAAGCTTATTAAGATGTTTGCTTTTTTTCTGCAAAATCAGATGTGTTTGGCCAGAAAAGAAACAATACTTAGCCTTTGCACAAAATCTTCCAACATTGGCATAAGGGGGGAAAAAAAAAAGTAAATAGTTTTCGGAGCGACAATAGTAGTAGGACTGCACAATTAACCCAAATTTAAATTGTGATTTCCATGTGGCTTCTCTAATCAAAGAAAAACGTTTAATGTGCAGAACGGCGTGGTGCGTTTACAAGTTGTCAATGGTGCAAAAGTACCTTGAATGCATCATGTTGCTTCAATTACTATTATAGTATGTTCTATTTGACTATCTTGCGAATTAATTTTCTCCTCATCCTGTCAAGTCATACTTAAGTTGAGTTTTCAAAAATTCAAGGATCCATAGTTCAAAAGACTTTTTTTGGGGGGTGAGGGGGTCATACCAATGCACATTTCCACATGACATGGCACGAAATACTTTACGGGATGAATGTACACTGCTCGCGTTGTTATTTGACTTGTGTCATGCTCTTGCCTCAGGAATCCGAAAAGCGAGGAGAAACGTAGCGGCGCCGGCTCACACAACTGGGGAAATGTGAAAGAGGAAGCCAGGTGAAAAGAAAAAAAAAATCACTCTTTTACAAATACACACTATTGAGCTCCAAGTGTGCTGGTGGTGCATTCAAGGACACCGGGGCAGTAACTAAATTAATGTCCATGCTTTGGTCCTTAAGCGTTTAAAAGTTGTCAAACCAATTCTTTACTAATGTGCCACCCCATTAATATTAAAACATTTCCCTGAGGCCGAAGACCCCGGGGAAACGCATCAGATCACTTCATGGATTTCTTCTTCTTGTCCCTGGTTGCACCAGGACTTGAGTTTGTTGTTGGCAAGATAAGAAGATCTCTGTCTTCTGCGTCCGTGTCACAATCAAGGCCATTCATTGCCATCTGTTTCCTCGTCGGAGCGCATGCGGCCGATTGCACAAACAAACTTTTTGTTCATTGCTCAACCTTGACGAAAGTCTTCCTCGTGTTGTGGTCAAACACAAATGTCCATACTTTGCAGCTCCTTTTGGTCTTCCTGTTGTCCCAATCGCAGTGGTACCGTACCCAGCTGGCAGAATAGTTTATAGAGAATAGTTGATTCATTAAATTATGCGGGCCTCTCTTCGGTGAAGAATTTGGGGATTTTCCCAAACGGCTTAATTAATAATGCAAAATTTTTCTGTTAGCCATGCATGTCATTTACTTGCTCATAGCAGAACGGCCACAAGAGGGCGCCAGTGACTGGTTTGGCTGGCTTGTATCGGCTTCCTTCATGAGTACTCGATACCTTTACTTACCCGTCTAAGTTATACTTTTATGACATTTGATCAGGGGGGTGGAATTATTGAGTTATTTATCATATTGTGCCTTGCTTCAGTCGAGGTTGGCCAACACAAAAAGGTTTGTCTTTCAGTGAGGCCCAACCAACTCCCGCTCCTGCTACTGAGAAGACTCCGGAGGGAGAGGAACAGGCACCCGCTGGCTCTGAGAACAAGTGAGTGTTCCCTTCCTGTCAGCAAAGTCAGCTGAGAGCCTGGTATTGATGGGAGCGCTCCCAAATCAGCTTGACCAGATTTGACACTTTGGCTGTGTCCGCACCTGCCAGGCATCGATTTGCACGTTTATCCCGACATTCATCAATGACACTTATGACATAATGCGCTGGGTCCGCAGGGAGAACGAGGTGGAGGAAGTTAAACCGGAAGGACCCCGAGAGATGACCCTGGACGAGTGGAAGGCCATGCAGGACAAGGAGCGCACCAAAGTGGAGTTCAACATCCGGAAGGCCAACGAGGGCGCCGACAGCCAGTGGAAGAAAGGATACGTGCTGCACAAGTCTAAGAGTGAAGATGTGAGTACGGGCCCGCGATCTACGGTTAGCTAATTGCGAAAGACAAAAATGCAAAAAGTGCTCCTTTCAAAGTGGCCCGTTAGATGACTGCTACGTACTTCCAGATCCACTAGGCAAGTGAATTTCACATTTAAAGTGTGACATTTTTTCCAAATGTATTTGACATGTCCAATGACATTTCGTGATTTCAAATGTTGTGATTTGACCTCGAAACTGAAACCATTTGTTTGCTCACTTAATTTGTGATGATTTCAGTGTACTCATTCCCAAACTGATAAAAAGGAGAAATTAAGACCTGACATTCAAAGTTTAATGAATGCAGTTCTCCAAAAGCAGTTGCACCTGAACTGAGCAGGAACAGTGTCGACCTTTTGAGCTATTTATCCCAATCATTGCTTTTTTTTTTTTTT